CCCCCCCCTCTTGCCGGCGTAGTATTGCCTCTGTACATGTCCGCCCCCCATTCGCGCTGGTGTTTCAGACTAATGGGAGTCCATAGGAACTGTCTCCTGAAGTCACATAAAATTTACTGTCTTCGCCTTTCCCATTAACGTATACAGGCTCCCTCAAGGTTGGTTTTGCTCTGGGTGACATTGTTGTCAAACGTGTGTTGTTTCCTTGCGTGGAGTCAGGCAATTTGGCTGACTCCTTTTATTCTTGACTTTGCGTATCCATTGTTGGGTACCGTACTGCCTTGATAGTTGTTATCATTGGGTTTGACGTACGCGTGATTGCTGGATACAGAGTCAGAGAAGGCAAGAAGACGAAGCAGTCATTGTACAATGAGGTTTTAATTGTACTTATTGTTTACTGTATCCATCATTAATATGCACGGAGATTCGAGGTCCAGATATAATATTGCCTTCATCATCCCCGGAAGAGGAAAAAGGAGAGAGGGGAATTCCTGGGACCAAGATATTTATATTTGTATCCTGTATATTCTCAATCGAAACCGGCAAGATCACGAGTCTGCGGCGCGGTGGTTAGAGCGTTGTACTTCTAGCCAACAAGGTCACAGGCTCGAACCTCGGAGCTGCTACCCCTGAGATTGGGTCTGGCTGGCTGATGGCGGCTATTAGGTCATAAGTGGTCATTTCAGTCTCTCTTGTCTTTCTGCTTATAATATACTTATCGTTGGGCAGTTGCTGGTTAGGTTCGGTGAGCGCTTACCTACCATTGTATATATAAATATATGCAGAAGCAAATTACCAGCAAAGACATGGGACACTAGGAAGGCCTCTTCTGCCTCATTAGGCGTCATCGGCTAGTGATACCCAATCCCAGTGTGGCCCCTGAAATTGCTGCCACACCGACATTTGATTTCGCGATCTCCCCCGTCAGGGCGAACGTCCTAACAGTTGAGCTACGAGCCCACGTGTTCGAACTTTATAACTATCCAGGATTTCATTTCACTGACCTCCGTGCTTCTTCTCAGTTTGCAGTGGCTCCGAGAGGCAAACCAGGACTCGCCTAGAGCTGCCACGAGAGTCCACAATGAGTACCGTAGAAGGCCTCCGGAAGACCAGTTTTGCCGGAAAACATCGGGGCCACCATCGACTGGAAGCACCGAAGTTGACCTCTGAGGAACGCGGTCGGATCATCGCAGCGGCGGTGAAAAGACACGAGGCGGAGCGGGCGGAGGAGAAGGAGCGAAAACGCAGACATCGACTGGCTCAGGGCAAACGCAGTTTCTATGAGCGCCTGACTGGCATTAACATTGGATTCAGTGAGTAAAAAGAGACCCAACAGATGTTCCCGGTTCCATTAGTGCCCCACATCTTGGGTCATCACCGTGCACTAAAAGCGGTGGCTTGAAAACCTGCCTAATATCAATAGAAGTTCAATCTCGCAATCATCCCTCCCTGTGTATGTTTGTGTGTGCGTGTAAAAGGACTGATTGGTGGAATGTGATTCAAAGTCATTGGCTCCTTCTCAACATTGTCTCTGTGGCACTCTGAAAAAAATTTTAAGTCAGTCCACCATCCGCTTTGTGTGAAAAGCTGGTGTGTTTATGATTGTCAGCTCCTGTGTAGCGCGCGTAGTGCGCGTAGCATGCCTGTAGTGCTGCCAATCACTTGCACCCCGCATCCGATGGCTGAGTGGCTCGGACAGCAGGCTGGTGTTTTGGGAAGGGGGGAGAGAGAGTGAGGTTGACTCTGGGGAATCTATCCTAACGCTCTTTTTTCACTATAAAAAGGTTGATCTGCCCAAACTTACCAGGACGATCGCATCTAATGCTTCTTAATTACTTTCTGGGACTCGCATTTCCACCTGTACTTATAGTAAACAATAAAATCAGCTCCCCAGCTCAAAGTCTGTCGAGACTGAGTCTCCTGTTTTGAAATGGGCCAATACACAGTCTCCACTGCACGCTAAAATAATACCCCAAAATTCACGGGGTACTTCGTGCTGAGACCCGTAACAAATTTTAAAAACGCGCAAATTTCTGACATGCTGGTCATCGTCAGTCAGTCAGTCAGTCAGTCAAAAGGCTGTTCTAGGCTCAAAAGGCTGAAGGAATAAAATGTTATTCTGTACTGTGTAAATCATCAAGGTTTGATGTTAGTAATACTGGGATGCGGCATCAGGATTTGTAGACTGTAATTTGAAAGTCACTATCGAAAAAGGTCAAGAATCTGTTGATAACGGAATGTATGCTGTTTAAGTGCGATTAGTCCCAGGGTGATCCACGCTGTTCTAAGCTCCCAGTAAATGCATGGGACCCTTTTTAAAACACTATCTTAGTCTCTGTTTTATCGTCGTGATCAGACTTTAAAGGTGAGACGAGAAGATCCCTCAGATCTGTGCATTGATTGATCGACCTCATGTCTCATGGAGACATACATGTCTCCACCCTATCTGCGCATGACCATGAATT